CGGGCGGCCGAGGACGTGCGTCGGGGCGACGCCGGCCCGAGGGGGGAGAGGGGCCCTGCCTTCTCTTCAAGAACGCTTTTAAAATCGGGGCTGTGTGTTGGCGAAGTCAGGTTCAGGCACCTAAACCCCAATCTCTTTTCCGTGAAAAAGTGCCGCCCTTCCACCCAAACGTCAAGGGGCCGCGGGGATACCTTCCCCAGGGCTGACCCGAAGCCCAGCTGCAGCTCTCCCCCACAGCTGCTGGACACGCCCCTGCTGAGGCCACTGGAAATAATACTTTATTACATGGTAACCGTGCCAGTCAAAAACCTCAGAAGTACGGTAAAATAAGCGCTCCTGATGAGGCGCGGTATGATTTACAAGGTATGTCATACAGCTGTGCAGAAGCAGCTCCTCTCTCTTCCATAAGGTCAGCTGAGGCTTGCTAAAATACACGACAAAGCGTGGAACTTCTGGAGTTGTTCTTTACCCTCGGGCAAAGAGGGTGGTCAGTAGGACAGCTTTTCAAGCACTTCACAGGGCAGTAATTCCTGGCAAAGGCCACTGCTTAAACTTCTCGATAAGCTACTGCTCAGTGTTAGAAATCACATTAAAATCAAACCCGGCCTGAGAGAAATTTTAGAACTAAATCCCTCAGAAAGAGAACTGTGGCATTATGTTTCAGCAGAATTAGAAATGCACCCTACTATGCAAGGCAAAGATGCTCACAACCAAAAGCTGTTTTTTCTCCTGCTATCACTACTGGAATAAGCACATCTATTCTATGTATTAGCAGTGCCTTTAAAGGTGAATACTGGTAATTTCTCACTCAAATCAAACATATTCCACAGCGTATGTGTCATCAATATCTTGCAGCAGGCAGCTTGGTATTTACCAGAATATATTTATCAGGATATTTTTATTAAATTATACAGGCAAATTTGTTCACAGATGTCAAAATGAAGACATTATTTCCTATATAATCCAAATATAAGATGCAATTCCGCAAGCAAAGCAAAAATAACTCAGCTTCAGTCTAGCTCAGGAATAAGCAAAACAAGATGCAGAGCGTCTTACACAGGTTCTCACAAAACTTCACAGTCGTCACTTGGGCAGAGCAATTAACAGCGCTCTGCTGTAAATGAGTTACACAGACCCGGGACCCATTTCCAAATTGGATTAAGTATGACAAAGCAAGACGACAATCCTGTACAGGATTATAGTTGCAAAGGAGAAACCATTCCTGCATTACCGGAATTCTGACACAGCCACGGTGGCTGGAGAACACACTTACCCGATGAGGAGGTGGAAAATGCATGGGGCCTGGCCTTTTTTGGGTTAACAGGCCAAGGAACAATGCCTGCAGACTTGTTCCATCAAGGCTGTATAGACAGGCGGGTCTCTGTATTAGAATCTTTCACGACCTTGTTTATTCTGTTTCGAGGCTTAAATATGAAACATAACAAAATTACTAGAGTTTACAGACATGTAAAGTATGTTATTTCAAAATTATTTTATAGAAGAAAAAAAGTTACTTTCACATACAATACAAGTGGGTTTGTTTTGGTTTTTTTAAAGCGTCCAGAGAAGTCTTTGACAGCTGCAAAGTAAGCTTTGTGTGTTTTCTGCCACTGAATCTTCTGGAAGTCTGACAGACATATTAGGGATAACCTGAACACAGAACTGACAGTATTTCCAAGGAGTAATACAAAACTGCGTGATAGTGACACAAACAGATGTTATTTTTGAACTATTGTGCAGAAACACAAGGCATTTACTGCAAGAGCACACTCTTCAGCTTCTATAAGAAGCTTTCAGGAATCCTCTACTGGTAATTTCAGGAATCCTCTACTGGTAATTTCAGTAGAGACTTTCTCGCATATAAACATCCATCCTCACGCAGAAGGAAACATAAGAAATACTTTGCTCCCTTCCCTTTTGCCGCTATCTTCGTTCTTTTGTTCTTCAGTATGGACACAGGTGTCAGCCCCAGCTCACGAGTAGTCTGTTGCTATTCAGCTTTTTGAAGCAGTCTGTAATTTACTGCCATTTTTATCTTCTTTAACTTTCTTTTTTTCCTTAATATTTTCCTTTGTGGTTTTCCTACAAGAAACACATTGGAGACCAAGGCACCTCAACATAATATATGAAGTATAGAGCAGCGACACAGACATTAGTTGTTTTATAATGTATTAGTGCAGCTGAACATAAATCCTTCAGTAGCAACACTCCAAAGCACGGGTAATGCTATTCTTTATGACCACTTCTACTATACCAAACTGCTACATGCCAATCTTCCGTGAGCTCTAGTCATTACAACTTAAGATCTCCTTCTTGTATTAATATTCCATGCATCAAAAACAAAGCCAGCCCTTTGCCAGAAGAGGAGCAGATAGGTTCTGTCAAGTGATAGCTAGTCTGAAGTCTGGCTTTAAGGCCAGTGGTTTAAACTCAGCTTGCTATCACCTGATACGTGGCACCATGTGAGGCAAACTGATGGCATTAATCCAATTTCCAATAGACAGATATAGGCACTAAAACTTCACCATCACTAAAATCCTTATGACTGGGTGGTCCATCCAAGTAAGTTATCGGTTATTTTGGAGGAAGCTTGCTGGGCCTTTTCTGGATAAACAGCTTCTCTTACCTCCTCTTGAGAAAAACCTACTTACGTTTTTCTTTTGGCTTTTTTTAAGAAGCACTGAGGGGTGGTACAAATGGATTCTCTTGTCAATGGTTTCTTAATTAATTTCTTCTTCTGTTTGCTGAGAACGACATTTAGTGAAGAAGGATTAAATTACTTTCAAGGGCAAAAATTAATATCCAAAGTAAATAAAACAAATAATGAAAACCTTTACTGGTTGTTAGGGATTTATGGGTCTGAATATATTTTCAGTGTTGTTTATTCCAAGATCAGTTCAGCTACATTGTCTCCAACCTTTATTTTAATATATGTCTAATATATATATATATAAAAAAAAGGATTTCTAGTTTTAGAAACTATTAGAAGTTATGAAAAAGCGTGAAAAGCAGCACTAATTAAAAAAATATTTATCTATACATATACATACACCCCTACAGCAGTTTTCTAAAGGTAATTCAAAAGAGTAAAGGCCTTACTTTCATGTATCAGAAGCCCAGTGCATGAGTACGGGCCTAGGAAGTCTAAAGCAGATTTCAGGGGGAAGTCTAAAGCAGATTTCAGGGAACTCACAGAAAAATAGTTAACTCCAGGAAAACCGTAAGTCGAGAATTCTTTTTGTTTCCATTTTTGTCTGGGTAAAAAACCGCCACAACCGCCCTGTCTAAAATTCCTTTTGCAGCTAAACTGCAACTCTATTGCAAACCATTAGATCTTTTGTGACCCTTGTACACCCAGCACCGCGCGTGCAGGCTTTTAAAATGGGAAGCAAACTGGTGAAGTGTTCAAATGAACGTACCTTTGCAGTTTGGGAAAGTGTTTTATGTAGTCTGGCACAGGACAGCCAGCTCGCTGAATAACATTGGCTATACTGGAAAGGAGAGGAGGGAAGAGATTAACTCTGGCAGCGAGTGCTTGGGCAATAGATAAGCTTCTTCTGTGGAAAACAGCAATCCCTCACAACTGGCTGTTTTGTTGTTGGTTTTTTGGTTTGTTGTGCTTTTTTAAAGCAAGAAATAAAGACACAAAAGCAAGTTTGAAGTAAGGTGAGGAAGAAACGACGACATGAAAGGCTTACATGAAACTAATGACTCCATTTGGATAGTTTAAGCAAATTGAAACTCCAGGTGAGTACAATCTTCAAGGAGATGAAGAAAAAGCAATAAGCCAAAACAGAGAATCGTACCAAGTGATTTTGGACACAAGCAAGTTAAAAAAATGGATTAAAAAAAAAAAACTAAAGTACAGCATGAGGTAGTCATACTTACTACATGGCAAATGATTCAGGAAAACCAGAACAAGAGCAAAGTTAGTTGTAAAGACTGTTGAACCTGCCCTTTAGCGAGGTTCAAGTCAGAATAACTGAGTTTCACTGAAAGGTGCTACCAAGTAAGCCATCACGTTGTCGTTACTGGCAACATGACTGAAAGAAGTGAAAGGATGCTAGTTTCTCTCTTGCTGCGTTAGTGAAAGGCTTCAAAAAGAAACCTTAACATTGAAATCTTCTCAGTCTTCCCATACTGTGGTAGCACCTTGCAGCTCCACTATGTTAATACAGAGTTTTCTCTCTCTATTTTTAAGAGCTTTTTAGAGCAGTGCGGGGTTTCCAGAGCATGGCAATACTGTGCTTACGAGGTGTGTGGTACCAGACACAACCATAGGGTTCAGCAGTACACTATACAAAACACAAAAAACATTTTCGTTCTATCATGTTTCCAATTTACCTCCGTAATAAAGGTTTATCATCTTCTGTAAAGAAAGTTACTGCTTTTCCTGTGTGCCCTGCTCTTCCAGTACGACCTGTCAAACACAAATTTTGCAAAGAGTAGGGATTTTACTTTAAATATCTCCCTTTATTCTATTCCTCTTCACAGCCCCAGCCTCCTGATGCATGTTAGTATACTAAGCGTACTACCAAGCAGCCGATCCCCAAAGATTGTTCCTAATGAATGAAAGCACAGGTATGTCTGAAGCGTCAAAATATTTAAGGTTCATAGAAGACTGACAAAAAGTAACGCAGTTTTACTGAAAGCTGAGCCCAGATATAAACTGGCTCAAGCGATGTAGAAGCCAGGGCTGCAGCAACAGAGGCGGCCTCGTTTCAGGATTTTTGCTCATGCACAAGAGCATCTACATTAGAGATCTAGGAAATGAGAAAAAGAACATAATTTGTGAACACTCACCTATCCTGTGGATGTATTCCACTGCACTCGTTGGCAAATCATAATTAATGACCATATTCACTCCTTTGAAGTCAATCCCTCGAGCTAGTAAGGCTGAGCAGATGAGCACCCAGATCTTCCCAGCTCTGAAACTGTGTACTACATTATCTCTCTAGGAAAAGAAAAGAAAAAGAAAGGTACTTGGAAATGGCCTAATTAGCAATTTGAGAAAGGAGGTGAACTTGTTTCCTGAAAGTTGACACGATGTTAATGAATATAACTAAACCTCTAAACAAAAACCTGCAGTAATTTACTGTCAAAGTTACCTGAAGTTGCCTTAGAAAGCAAGGTAAAAGCAAGAGTGTTGTAAAGTCGTTCACGAAAAGAGATTATATCCTCCTACCTGTTGCTGAGTTTTGTCTGCATGGATGACATCCACGTTGATGCCTTCATAAATAAGTTCATGGAAAAGCTCTTTAGCCCTCTCAATAGACTGTACAAAAACAAGGACCGGAGGAGCAAAACCCTGCAAAAGAATAAGCTTGTCTAAGGTTCGAGTCCTTTTCTTACCATTATCGATTGCAGACACTGAGCTACTGAAGAGACTTAACCAGCCCTCGTATTTTACATCTTAGAGGATGGGGGTTGTTTTGGGTTTTTTTTCCCCGACTAGCAAAATCTTTGGGAGTCAGAACTAAGCAAGTTCAGCTCCACTGCCTTTAATGGAATGGTTCCTAACTTAAGCATCAGGCTGCATTTTAATCCACAGAAATGAACAGATTTTTTTTTTTCCTCCACCCAGCGTGAAGAACCCACTCACACTGCCAAGTAAATTAAACAGACTGTTAATACAAACTGCTCCTAAGCAAGACTCAAATATATAACCAGGAACAGGGAACACTCTCAGTTTTGATAGGTAGGGTACTTACTCTTCCTCTTGTACAGCAGATTTGGACAATGGTTTAACATGTGTCACAGAGAAGTCTTTGCCCTAGGAAATTATGAGTCTCTGACAGAACACACAGCTCAGTTCAGAAGTAAGCAGAACATGCTCAGTCTCTCCAAAATACCTTTTTAACAAGCTCTCTCATTGCCGTTAGTTTTCCTGTCTCAGATCCAACAAACAACAGCTCTTGTTCTACTGTCTCTGCTGCAGAGTTTCTGAAACCAGAAATCCAACAGAAGCGTGCTACCATTAGGGTTTACTTATAAACACTAAAAACCATAAAATATTACCTGGTGAGTGAGAAATATTGCACAACAAACTTATTTCACCAGTACACGCTTCCAAGAATAATCTTTATTTGACGATAAAGTAACGGGTAAAGGAAAACAACACCTTCCCCAACACGTGAGAAAGATCTGTATGCCTACGCAATTTTTTCTGGAGACAAACAACCTGCAGTACTGAGACTAACAACAGAGACATACAACCAAGCAGACTGATGATGCAAAGAAAGCAAATAATTTGCCCAGGAAAGGAAAAAAAATGATGAGAGAGTCAGGGTGCAACTGCACACCTACCTTGCTCCAACAGACACCAGAACAACACTGTCAAGGTTGAGTTTACACCACTCCTCTACATCGTGCGCAAAGGTTGCGCTGAACAAGGCTCTTCTCACCACGTGGGAGGTGCACGCCAGGAAGATGGAGGCCAGCTGATCTCGGAACCCCGACTTCCCGTCTTCAAACAGCTTGTCTGACTCATCCACCACCAGCCACTCCACACTAGGAACAGAGAGGTTTTCCTTTCAGTAAGAGTCACTTGTGGAGAAGGCAAAAGTTCTAACAGACCATCACAGATGCAAGGACGATGCACGCATCCGCTTTTCAGCGGCAAAGCTAGCAGCAAAGCCAGATTTGATAAAGATTCTCAGTACCTGGTCAAGTCTATTGCTGGAGGATCTTGTTTCAGCAAATAAATGAGCCTGTTTGGAGTAGTAACTAGTATATCTATAGGGGGAGGGAAAAAAAAAAAGCAAACCATCAAAAAAGACACAAAATAAACCTGACTAACAGAGCCCTGAGAAACAAGTTCCAATCCAGTCTGCCAGAGGTACAATTTAACAGGGTCCACTGTCAGGCTCACTTCCTATTTCTTCCATGCCAGCTACTTTTTTTTTTAGTGTTGAGCAATAGATTGCACGTCTTGAGCGGTATTAACCGATCTCTTTTAAACCACACGGGCCAGAAGAGAAAAGTCAGTGACATTTTTTCAATTTTCAGGAGCACTTCAAGTAGTTAAAGCAATTACCAAATTTCTTAGAAGACTTGGGCCCAAACTTCTTTGCTGCTTCAGCTGCCTTGTGGATCATATGTATTCTGAAGCCTGTCCCCTCAGCCAACTTCACCAGCTCCCGATGTGTCTGAAAAGGCAGCAACAGGGATTAAATTTTCAAACCAATCTGATTAGCTTTTCTGACCAGAAAAACTAGAGGCAATTCCTAAGTTACAGTTTCAAACATTTCCCTGACTTCAGTGTTAAGGAGAAAGCTGTCTAGTCTTCTTAGCATAATAAAAATGCAGCTTTCTAACACATATTACTCACTTGGAAGTTCTCACAGGTCTGGCTACCGTATTTTGACTCTAACGATGTGGCTCCCATAAGCCCCCTCTCCTATTTGAATAAAAACGGAACTCTGCCTGAAGTTGCAATTTTTATTTCAGTTTAATAACAAAGCTTCAATATGAAGTTATTTGTTGAAATTCTGTGTTTGGGACAAACAGATAAAACTCTTGTAGCAATCTCAAATATGAAGGTAGGTATTAAGAGCACCTAAGCATTGGGCAGTTTTGAAATATAATCAAAGAATCTTGGTTACCTTATCATCTAAGTTAGACCGAGATGCTAGATATGTAGCTATTTCACAGAAGACAAAAGGCACATTTAAATTAGCTTTTTCTGATATCTGAGGGTAATAAAGGAAAAGAAATATTTACTAAGCTGCTATTTTACTGATTCAGAGTGAAAACTTTGAAGTACGTCAATATGACAACAACCCCTCTGCCCTCAACACACACCTGGCTAGCAAGTTCTCGGGTAGGCGATATGATCAGCGCTCTGAATCCTTTGTTCCTAGGTTGTTTCAGATGTGTCAAGAGAGGAATACAAAATGCCAGCGTTTTTCCAGACCCAGTAGGAGCTGAAGCTAGAAGTTCCCGACCCTGTAAGAAAAAACAAGAAGGGTGTTATATTTTACTAGGAAAAAAAAAAAAAGAGGAAAAAAAACCCACCCACCCAAAAATCACATTCACGTAAATATTAATGCTATAGGCTACCCCAAAATACATTAGTAAAAACACAGACCAAGAATATCGTAACAGCTAAGTTTTGAACTCTGATGCAGTTGATGTATCTCTAAAGCCATGCAACTAACCACTGCCGTGACGCTGCAGAGAGGCCGCTCTCCAAACTTTGCCATGTTCCCTGTAATAAAATGCAGTACCAGAAAACTTACATGAAGCATGACGGGAATAGCCTGCATCTGGATTGGTGTTGGGACCCGGAAGCCAGCCGCTCGAATATTCTCCATGATTTTAGGGTGGATTTTGTATTCCTTTTGAAGTTGATCGAATGTGGCAATTGGGTCAGGAAGATCTGTTCCTTGAACATTAATCTTGTGTTGATTTCTGAAGCGGTTTATCTAAAACGCAAAAGACAAACCTTTCTTTCTTTGACAGCATAAAACTAAACATATATGGATTCAGCTTCTGGTTATTTTCCCCACACTCAGTCACCCTCCTCCCAAGAGGAATTACCAGAAATGAACCTCAATTTTCAGATGAAACACCCACAGAAACCCAGTTATCTGTTGCTACATTAGAATTCTGTGGTCCCACCTTTTCTCTTCTCAAGCGTTCGAGTTTTTCTGCAGTAGGTTTTTTGTCTTTCGCATCTTCGAATTTTGCTTCCAGGGAGGACATCCACTTTATTCCATTATTTTCTGACAGCTCTGGCATTGATGCCGCTTCTGGAAGTTTCAAAAAAATTGAGATTTCCAGTAGTAAAATTCAATCAAAAATTATTTGGTAAAAAAGGTCACCTCAAAACCTTTTTTCTCTCATTCTCGCTGAAGTTAGCGAAGACTCCAGAAGGATGGCAACCACATCCTCGTGCCTTAACACTGAATCTTGGCCCAATTATTTTATCAGCTCTGACAGAGGCCAGCCAAAGAACTCAGGAGCCTCTTTTTTCCCCTGGTAAAATGACCTACAGTACCTGCAGATTTGAAGTGAACTGAAACAAGCAAGAAGCAGGAACTACATCAGAGCATTCTGTCTGGGACACACGTACGTATATATAAAAATACCTCGCATTTTTTTCTTTTTCCTTTTCCCTCCGCTGCTTTCTGCGGTTCTTCTTCTCTTTCCTGCCATCTCTCCGTCGTTATTCCCTGCTCCGTCCTCCTGCTGCTGGTCTCCACCCTTTGCCTCCTCTCCAGCCCCTGCGAGCCCCCAGCCTTCCTCGGCAGACCCCGGAGGGGCTCCCTCCTTGCGCCCGAAGAAGTCGAGGCT